GCGTATTGCCTCCCTGCATACGCGTATGGGTAGTTTGTAACACCAAAAATTCTATTTTTGCATCAGTGCGATTTTTCACCCATTGGAGCACCTTCAAGCTCCTAATTTTGACCCAAAACAACATTCATACCTGTATACTCCTAAAAACATTACTCTACCTCATTAATCTATCAATCTATCAAGATTTTCTATCCATTAAATCATAGTTTCGTTATCTCCCAAAACCCTAAATTTTCCAGATCTGATTTCATTGTAAAACAAAACAGCAATACACAGCTTACATGAAATTCACATCCATATTAGTACACAATTACGAATCCGCAATAGCAATTACACAAATGTGGGAATGAAACAAGAAGGAAGAAGAATATACATAAAATCCTAAGAGGGAAAGAAACCTTCACTACCCTCTCATGTTCATATCACCATTAAAGAACCCATTCTTCCCTTATCTTAATTTCAAGTTTGATCTCTCTAACAATGATGGAGAACTCTTGGTCTCTTCTTGCCATAGCTCTGCTTTCTTCCTCTTTTTCTCTTTTTACGTGAAACAGTTTATGTAACTCCCTTTACCACTTCTCCCTAATTATGCTTATTTTTCTTAATCTTAATAATAATAATAATATTAATACTAATAATACTAGTATTACTATTAATAATAATAATTATGAAATATTTCATCGCCAATTATATTATTATTACTATGATATTATTCTAAGGTCTTAGTCCAAGTACAAATTACACTAAGTTCTTACGCCCATCCTTATACATATGCCCTTAACTAAGTCAATGCCAAAATAATCGCACACATAAAATCACAAAATGACTTAATATTTAAATGGGGTGTTACAATTTGTAACACCGGGAATGGGCGCGTTATTTGTTTGTAGTTTTTTCTAAAATTTATTTTCGTTATTTGGTGGTTTAATATATTAATTGATGATTATAAGGATTATTTGATTTTCTGCTGCGAGGTTGAAAATATTTTTATGATATGTATGAAGTAGCATCCTAAGCAATTCACTTTTCTCTTTTATATTAAGAGTCAAGATTTAGGGTGTTACATAGTGGTACCATAGCAAGTCGGTCAGTCTGACCAGATTTTATAATTTTTATCTATTCCTAGCATGCGACATGTGTGCGAAACATTGTCGGTACTTATTTGTTTTCTCATCGCTTTCCAGTAGGAGCGGGATTGAAACAAGTGAGGGAAAAGCTCCTACTTCTCTGAGATGCTTCTAGTGTGGATAATTGGTCGAGTGGGCTGGTGATTAAAAGAGTGCAAGTGTTGTTGAGACTATGTTGTTTCTTGAACCCGAAAAGAATATGAATTTAAGTTTCATGTTCGTTGGTCAAGTCGATATGTTATCGAGGAACGTAGATCAGGTGCTCGTAATGTTCGCTTCCTTGAGGGTGGGATGCGATGTTGTGGCCAGTGATATGCATGTGGTGTGTGAGTTTCCTGAAGACAGTTGCGACTTGCCACCAGAGTGAGAAATTGAGTTCGCCATAGATTTAGCACTTGGTACTAGACTTGGGTTGATGGCACCATACAAGATGTCTGCTTTAGAGTTGGTTGAACTGAAGATTCAATTAGAAGATTTAATTTATAAGAAATTTGTCAAACCAAGTGTATCTCTATGGAGAGCTCCAGTGTTGTTAGTGAAAAAGAAAGACGGCGGTATGAGATTGTATGTTGATTATCGCCAACTGAATAAGGTTACTATTAAGAATAAGTATCCTCTTCCTAGAATTGACGACCTCATAGATCACTTATTGGGGCTCGTGTTTTTAGTAAGATCGACTTGAGGTCAGGCTATCATTAGATTCGAGTAAAGGATGAAGATATCTTAAAGATTGCGTTCAGGACAAGATATGTCCACTATGAGTACTCGGTGATGTCGTTTGGTGTGTGCAATTCCCCTGATATATTTATGGAGTATATGATTAGGATCTTCCATCCCTATTTGGATCAGTTTGTTGTGGTGTTCATTGATGATATTATATTATATTCTAAATCAGATGAAGACCATGTTGGACATCTTCATGCTGTACTCCAGGTTTTGAAAGAGAATGAAATGTATGCCAAGTTATCAAAATGTGAGTTCTGGTTGCGAGAAGTGAATTTTCTCATTCATGTGATTTTTAGCGGTTGATCCTACTAAGGTAGATGCATTGCTACAGTGGGAGCTCTGAAATTAGTTACTGAGACCAGAAGTTTCTTAGGCTTAGCTGGTTACTACCAAAGATTTATCAATGGCTTTTCTAAGTTAGCTCCACCTTTGACTCAGTTGACTTGAAGTGGTCAAACCTTTGTGTGGGATATGTAGTGCGAAGAGAATTTCTAGGAACTAAAAAAGAAGTTGACAACATTGTCGATGTTGATATTATCATACTCAAGGGAACCTTTTGTTGTATACAATGATGCATCCAAGATGGTCTTAGACGATGTACTTATGCAGATTCGATAGGTGGTAGCTTATGCTTCGCTAAAACTGATGATTCATGAGAGGAACTACCCTACTCACGATTTAGAACTGGAAATTATGGTAGTCGTTCTGAAATTATGGGGACAATATTTGTATGGTTCTAGATTCGAAATATTTAGTAATCACAAGAGTTCGAAATATTTGTTCGATCATAAGGAGCTAAATATGAGGCAAAGGAGATGGTTAGAGTTTTCGAAGGACTATGAATTTAGTTTGAGCTACCATCTCGGTAAAGCCAATATTGTGGCAGGTGCTTTGAGTCTGGAGTCCTTACACATGGTGACGTTGATGGTTATGGAGTTGAATTTGATCGAGCAATTTATAGACTTGATTTATTGTGCGAGGTGGCTGTAAATAGTGTGATATTTGGCATGTTAAAGCTGACTAGTGGTTTTCTTGATGAGATCAAAGAAGATCAATAACCAGATGTATCCTTGGTTGATCTTCTGACATCAATTAATTAAGGTGAAGATGAATATTTTTGAGTTGACGAGAATGGGATCCTAAAGTTTCATAATAGATTTTGTAACTTAAGAAGACTATTTTGGAGGAAAGTCACCGAAACAGTTTGAGTATTCATCTTGCGGCTACTAAAATGTACCAAGCCCTCAAGAAAATGTTTTGGTGTCCAAGAGTGAAGAGAGATGTTGCATAATTTGTTTATTCGTGCTTGACTTGCCAAAAGTCGAAGATTGAGCAACAGAAACCGTCTGAACTGATGCAGACATTGGATATTCCCGAGTGGAAATGGGATAGTATATTGATGAATTTTGTGACTGGTTTTCCGAATACTCCTAGAGGATTTGATGCTATTTGAGTGGTCGTGGATAGGCTAACTAAATCAGCACACTTCGTTCATATTAAGATCAGTTTTCCATTGTAGAAGTTGGATGAGATTTACATTGTTGTAACTGCGAGGCTTCATGGTATTTCATCGATCGTATTATGTCTGACGAGACCCGAGATTCACATCCAGGTATCGAGAGAGTTTGCATGAGTAATTAGGTACTAAGCTACGGTTGAGTTCTGCTTATCATCCATAGACCGATGGTCAGACTGAGAGGACTATCTAATCTTTAGAGGATCTATTAAGGGCTTGTGTCTTAGAGCAATGAGATGCTTGGGCCACTTTTCTACCTTTGATCGAGTTTACATACAATAATAACTACCATTCTAGTATTGGAATGACACTATTCGAAGCTTTGTATGGGAAGAGTTGTATGACTCCTCTGTGTTGATATGAGTCTACAGAGTGTTGTACTTGGACCATAGATTGTGCAACAGACAACCGAAAAGGTGAAAATGATCCAAGAAAAGATGAAGGCGTCTCAGAGCAGGCAGGAGAGTTATCACGATAAGTGGAAGAAGGCCCTTGAGTTCCTAGAGGGTGATCACGTATTTATGAGAGTTACTCTTATGACCAGTGTTAGGAGGGTTTTGAAGTCTAAAAAACTTACTCCTTGTTTTATAGGTCCCTATTATATTTTCCATAGGATTGGAGATGATGCCTACAGGGTGGCCTTGCCACCGTCTTTTTCGAACTTGCATGTTGTTTTCTAAGTATTCCAATTTTAAAAGTACATTCTTATCCATCACATATAACCCAGATGAACGATTTACAAGTGAGATAAAATTGACTATTAAAACAATGCCTATAAAAATTAAGGATCAAGAGGTGAAGCAAGTCGGAAGGAAGAAGATTACTTTAGTAAAGATGGTCTGAGGAAGGATGCATGAACTATTAGATAAAAAAAAGGGATGGCTGAATAAAAAAAAGAGTAGAGGGTCTAAACCCATATATATATATATATATATATATATATATATATATATATATATATATATATATATATATATATATATATATATATATATATATATATATATATATATATATATATATATATATATATATATATATATATATATATATATATATATATATATATATATATATATATATATATATATATATATATATATATATATATATATATATATATATATATATATATATATATATATATATATATATATATATACACACACGATATGGTCATCATTGAGATGTTTAGTTTCTTCTTGATAGCATGATGCTATTAATTTAGTTAAAAAAATAATATATATACATAACATTCTAACCGTAAAACGATCTAATAGTCACAATAAATAACATTACGAGGATACTTTTCTCGGATAATACCTCAAAAACACGCGCTAAATCAAAAGCATCACAACTTTCATGTCCTTGGATGTTTTGAAGACACTTTCTTGTTGTAAGAAACCAAACTGCTTAAGTTGCATTCATAATGGTATAAACCAAATAATAAAACACAAATTTGAGAAGTGCGTTTATACAGGAGGTGCGTGTGGCAATGGTGGAAGAAATGAAGAAAACATGTTGACCATAATGTGGAGTGGAGGTTTTCATGCAGAATTATAAACTATCAATGCCAAAAAGATCAGCCAAAAGATACGGAAAGTTATATTCAAGTTATACAAACAACATAATTACATTACACTCATATTTTCACTTTTGTCTTTGCAAATGTTATTTGATTTTGCAGAATCATTCTCCAGTAAGGTTGTTGAATTTTCCTCTAACAAATTGTTGGAAGCCTCATATGAAGTTTGTAAAGATGGCATTCCAGGAGAATATAAGCAAGGTTTTGGAGGATATGCTACCGACTCAAGTGGTCCTTGTAGCATTTCGATTACTTTACTCATCGATGGTCTATCCGATGGATTTGTTTGAATGCACCATATACTAACCATAGTAATCTTTCGAATCAAATCCCTTTCCTCCTCTGAGTATGCTAAACCGTTGACAAGGTTATTGCGTAGCTCAAGATCCTTATAAATCCAATCTGCAAAATACATTTCAGAAGTACACGATCCTCCAGTGTCGTAGTTTTTTCTTCCACCAATCATTTCCAAAATCAACATACCATAACTATATACATCAGACTTGTGAGAAATTGCACCAAATGTCCGACTAAATACTTCAGGAGCTATATATCCTATAGTTCCTCTTGTACCAAGTATGGACACAACACTATCATTCCTTCGACAAATTTGAGCTAATCCAAAATCAGAAATTTTTGGACAAAAATCTTCATCCAGAAGAATATTTTGAGGTTTGATATCAAGATGCAAAATTCGTGAAATACATCCTTGATGCAAGTAATCTAGGCCTCGAGCAATTCCTATTGCAATTTGGTACAATGTATTCCAATCCAAATTACAAATAGCATCCGGAAATCCATTTTTGAAGATATATTTGTCTAGTGAGCCATTGGGCATGAATTCATATATGAGTGCTCTTTTATTCTCATAACAAAAACCCACTAGTGAGACGATGTTCACATGTGAAGTTCTACTAATGCTAGCAACTTCGTTTATGAATTCTTCTCCATTCCCTTTTGACTCGTTTATCATTTTCACTGCCACTTGACGACCATCGGGTAAACTTGCTTTGTACACAATACCATATCCTCCTCGACCTAATTGATCTCTGAAAGAATTTGTCATTCTTTTCACTTCTGCATATCTATATTGCTTAATTGGTACCGACAAGTTATAAGTTTGTATAAAATCCTCCACATTGTTGTCAATAGATTTCTTTGTACTTCTGAGGATCAACCTCTTTACTGCAATAGAATACCTCTTACGTTTGCAAATAATCACAATAAATATTACAATTCCAACACTAAACATTGATGCCCCTGCATGCCATAAACAATGATTTTATTGTGCTATTTTAAAAGTAAAATTATTTTATATAACGGATAAACATAACATACATACATACCTACAATCCAAAGAGGTCTAAACCCTGCTGTTTTAGATGTGCCTCCATGATGAGGATCAGTTGCATTTTCTTCTCCACCTCGTCGAGAACCATTTAGCCCAAGCCAAGTATTGCCTCTGGTAATTAAGGTCACCTTGGATGAAAATTTGGGAACTCGTCCAGATAGATTATTATCAGAAACATCAAGAAGTTGGAGTCGAGGCAAAGTTGCAAGACTACGTGGTATTGAACCTGTCAAATTATTGCCACCAAGATTCAAGTTCACTAAACTTGTTAAATTGGAAAATGCCATGGAGATGGTTCCTGTTAAACTCAGATTCTTCATATCAACGCTCACAATTTTTCCGCTTTGGCACATAAACAATGACCCTACAGAACAAGCATTGTTAGCTTTACTTGACAGAAAAACAGGAAATCCAAAAGATTCAAAAATCTGAAGCAAAATCGTGGTCTGTGGATCACAAGGTCCAACACAAAAATTGTTTTCCTCCCAAGTTGCTTCAATATCATCAGGAAACAAGGGCACCGGTCCTTGAAGATAATTATCATGTAGTGATATATTTTTCAAGGTAGAGAGAGGGAACAAAGAAGGTGTAGCCAAACCAGTTAAGATATTTGAGTGAAGTTGCAAATCAAACAAATAATTTGAATTAGACAAGTTAGGAATTGGACCGGTGAAGCCGTTGTTGTGAAGCCATGCTTGAGACAAGAACTTCATTGATGATATAACATCAATGGAACCTGTGAGCCGATTCCACATCCCTTGGTCGTTGAATCGTAAATACCTTACCACAGATTTTCCAAGAGACACCGGAAGCTTTCCAGTGATATTGTTGTGAGAAACAAAAACAGTATGCAGAGTCGGAAACCAATCGAACATTTCTGATGGCAAGGTAGCTAGGATATTTGTAGCTTCAAGATCGAGGGTTTGCATGAGTGACGAATAACTTAAATCCGTAGGAAAAAGCCATGGTAAGAGATTCAAGTTATTGCTAAGGTTTAGGGTTCTCAGATTCGGTATCACGCGAAAGCAACCGTCTGGGATGGAGGAGAAGTTATTGTGACCAAAGGATGCAGTTTCGAGAAGGAAGAGAGCAGACAAATCAGGCAAAGGACCGGTGAGTGAGTTGTTGTGGAGATCTATGGTGGTGAGATTAGTAAGCAAGTTGAGATTGGGAGGCAGTGTTCCAGTGAGGTTGCTTGATGGGAGTGTGATGGAACGAACTCCACCAGACATGCAAACAATGCCGTTCCATTTGCAGAAATGAGTTTTGTGAGACCAACCTGTTGGAGTTGGGGTAAGTGCTTTCAAAAGTTGAGACATGTAATCTGCATTATCAGCAAGAACAACAATAGGAATGATGAATAACAAAAGATAACGTAACATTTTCATGGTTGATTTATGATGCATGAGTGTTTTCTTAAGACTAGATGAAACTCCAGCACCAGTGTTGTAACGGACACCAACATTCAATTACTAAAGTTTTATATAAAATTTGAGTCCGCTTAATCTCGATTGAACTGCAGTCAACGAAGGCGCGCCACCCTGTTAGTATTGAATATTGCCAATATGCGCGTGGCCAAATATATATTGATATTTTAAGCGTAGGATTTTTTTTTTAAACTAGCCAAGGATTGTAAACAAATTACCATATAAATGCCGTTTTCAAAAAATTTACAAAACCAGTATGACGACATAGTGCAAATTGGACATCAACAAATTCGTCATTTGAATTGGCGATATTGGCTGAAATGAGCAAATTCGCCATCCCATTTGGCGAAACAGGTTTGGCTAGGGTTTCAATTATTTTTTATTTTTTTTGCTGTATTTTATATTTTTAATTTTGATTATTTTATTAATTTTTTCAATTAATATTTTAATGTATTTAATATCATTAATATTTTGGAACTTTTAAATATTATTTTGTTTTTAAACATAATTATTATTAATAAACATAAAATATTTAGGTTTAAATAAAATATAAAATATATTAATTTATAATATAATTAAAATTACAACAACAAAAATATTAATATAATGAAAATTACAACAACAAAAATATTAATATAATGAAAATTAAAACAACAAAAAAAAACTAATGGCCTACTCTATCCAAGCGACCACCGGTGCCACACTGTGGAGGATGCGCGTTGCGACGAGTGTCGCTACTGCGAAAATCGGCACCGGCTGAACAGAAGAGTCGCCACCGTGCGTTATTTATCCCAACGGAGGGAAAGGAGACGCTCAGAGTAAACCTACCGCAAAGACGGGAAAGGAATGGTCGTCGCAACCAAATCCTGGATTCGGGAGTCGGTTACGCAAGGGGAAGGTATTAGCACCCCTCACGTCCGTCGTACTCGACGGGATCCACGCTTGTTTTCTGGTACGGATTGTTATTTCTATCTAAACTAAGGGTTAAGGGTTAAAAAGAAAGAAAGGGACTCGGCAAAGTATCGCACTTTATGCCTACGTATTCCCGTCTGGAACGAGAAATCAGAGTCAGCGTAGTTCGCCTACCTACGGGAAAGGAAGGGAAGGTTGCTCGCTAGGATATCGCATCCTATGCCTACGTACTTTCATACAGCATGAAAGATCAGAGCAAACGTAGTTCGGGCCACGTACGACACAAGTCTGTCTTGATTGTTTTTATTCCTTCTGAAAAAGGGTTTTTCTGATTACCAGTCCAGGCGGACAAAAATGACGTTTTGATGAGTTCACATTCTTTTACAGAAGAAGTGTCTTTTATTGTGTTTGAAATCTTATTGTGTTTTTCTGTTTGTTTTGAGAAAGAAGAGACGAAACTCTAACCTATGGTTGAAAAGGGAATCAAACTAACCTAATGTTATCATGCATGGGTTAAGACCTAATGTCTATCATGTTCCTCTCTTGCGCAGAGAGAAACAGAGATCCTAAGGGATAAACGGAAACAGAAACAATAGCATATATACAATAAAGCAGTAAAATGCATGGATGCAACAATACAAGCGAGGCAAGGGAGTCACACTCAACCTCGAACCTAGAAAACAACAGGCAAAAGTGAACAAGGTTCACTTTCAACCTAACAGGTTAAATGGCAAACAATACAGTCAGGGAAATTCAAACAATACATCAAGAATTATAAACAGCAAAAATAAACAGCAAACAACAGTCTTCATCAACATCTGTCTTCAAGCAAGGTCTCTATCTTCAATCTTCAATGGCTTTACTTCAAGTCCCAATCTCCAAGATGAGCAGCAGTCAACAAGATGGATGAGATGTTAAGCAATCAGTTGCCTACCAAGGGTGGCCTACTGATTGTTAACATGATATAAACAGTTTTCTCTCAAAAGTTCTATCTTTTAAATACATTCACTAATCCTTCCAAAGGAAGGAGGTGGGTATTTAAAAGAGACTTTGAATCATAGAGAAAGAATGGAGGCAGACAAGACCTTCCATGTTTATGAAGCAAGTTTTCTACTCTAGAGCTCTGCCTAGTTCCTAGACCCTATAACCTTCAACAGCTGCCAGCAAGATGCTCTTCACCAACTCTGGAAATTGGTCTTCATTATCTTAATCTTCAATGGGCTTCATCAGCACAGTCTTCAGCTCAAACCCAAGCCCCAAACAAGCCCAATACCCCACACAGTCAAATAATAACCCTAGAGAGGGCACACCACACAATCAAGCCAATACAGGAAATATACTAATAGTAATAGTAGAATAGGGGAAGCCTAACATTTTCTAAGGGATATATTATTTACCCATAACCCCTATAGTCCCATACCCCAAAATTCAAACTACAACTCCTAAAAGAAATGATTTATCACACCTATGTTATATCTAAACCCTAGTTTTGATTCTCCTAATCACACCTAAACAAACCATCTAAAATTTAGTCCTAAAATCATGAATTAAATCTCATATGCAAATTAAAGTCCTAAGTGAAGTACTCTAAAAAGAATGAGTCCAAAATATACAAGGATCTAGCTAAACTAAAATCAACAAGATCAAGTATTAAACTAAACATCATTTAAACCTATTTAAAAGAAAAATATACTAAAAATGCAAAAACAAATTAAAATGCTAATTTTATTATATGACAATTTTCTTAACAGAAATATAAAAAAGATGCAAAAACAACCACTTAAAAATATGGAATTTTCAATTTGTTATGATTTTTCAAACAATTAACAAAAATAAAAGAAATTAAAATGATTTAAAATGAGTTAGATTTGGTTAGGGGTGCAGTCAGCAATTATTTGCATTGAAAAATGGATGATGGGCCCAGACTGGGGGTGCGCATAGCAAGGCGCGTCTGGGCCCAGTTAATCAGAAAACACAAAAAGAAAATAAAAAAAAGAAAACGGTGCAAATAGTAACTATCTTAGTTCAATTGAGGTTGGGCCTGGATATTGGTGGTGCGAATAGCATTCTCAACTTAAGCCCACCAGAGGGTTTTAAGTGAAACGGTGCGCTTAAGGCACCCAGCTTCCCTCCAAATTCAACTTTAAATTGTGGTTGTGCGATCACATTCTCAGTCAACATGGTCTTGCTCAATCCAACGCCTCCCAGTTCGTCTTCTCCAAATGCCACTTAGGGTTTCAGAAATTTGCTTCCATGCACGAATCTTCACCATCATCGCGCTCTCTCATCTCTCAACTAAATGCTCTCATCCAAAAACCAAAACTGCCCTACATCTTCTCCTCTACACAACCATGGTTTCAGTTTTCTCTAAAACTCAATCTAGAGCCAAACCCGATAGGTAGAAGACCTTGGTTCCAACACTTTACACTGAGATCAACCTTGATGATTCTTGCTAACTCTTACACTAATGTGTTCTGCATGTTATGCTGATCATTCTAATCTATCTAGATAATATTAACATGCCCTAACCTAAGTGTTCTAAGTCAAAACAGTTTTGGTGCTCATGTAAAAACCTCCATGAAATTCAGCCAAACTCTCCAGAATTATTCCTCTAACTACCTAGGTCATTCTTATCCTAACCAACCTACATCATGCTAACTAAATTAAGCCAATTCGGTGGAAATACTAACCTGGTTTAAAGTTGAAAACAGATGGAGGAAATCACCACTTCAAGCTCAGCAATGCTCCAATGGCAATCAATAGATCAAGATCTTGATTCTGTATGCACTTGTTCTTGCTTAAACACCTTGGATTCTTGTAACCAATTCCTTTTGCAATTTGTAGGATGAACTTGGTAGCACACGAATTCTGCTTCAATTCAACCAGATCTTGATGGAAACTTGCTCTATGATGAATGTAGGTGATGATAGGATCAAGAATTTTGAAGAATGATGAAGATTTGATAGAGATTGGAATGAATTTGCAAAATTGAGGAATGAGATGTAACTATGAGTTTTCAACCAAAATGAATCACCAACCAATGATTGGATCCACTCTACTCAATATATAGATGCTCATGGAACCCTCTAGAACTTGTTAGAAACTTCTTGTGCACAAATCCCTTGTGTTTTGGCATGTGTAACTTCATACATAAGCAACCAATGATATCTCTCAAACTTTGACCTAAACTCAAAAATCCACTATTGCCAATGGTCTCAAAACATTCTTTCCAATCAAAATGACCTATAATTTCATCCCATTTGGCCATGTTATGAAAAATCTCATTTTTAGGTCACTTTTATTCATTAAATTCACCTTTTAATTGACCAAATTTGGAACCTTGAGCTATGAGCATTTCCAAACTTTCATGATCACTTTTATAGACTCAAAATGTCATTTGGAGCAAGTTTGATGTTGTGAAGTTTTTCATTTGAAGCTTCCTTGTATGAGTTTTGGGCATAAGCTTGAAATGACCTGTAATTCTCAAATGACCAAAATACCCTTTGCTTGCCAAGGTCATAAGTAGAGTTCCACAAATCAGATGAATGCATACCATACCTTTCTAGAAAGCTAAGACAATGAGGAACAACTATCATGTTGACTAGAAATCCATTTGAAAGCTCCTTGAGGGGTAAAAGTTGCTTGGAAGACAAGTAACTTTCATAGACAAAATTCCAGATGCCTCAGATGACCTGTAACTTGCAAGGACCATAACTTGAGTTCTATAAATCTCCTTGATGTCTTCCACCACTAAAATTAAAGGTCTTGAGATCCTCTACAAGTTTCATGTTGTCCAAGGATCCATTTGAAGCTTTCATTTTGAATTATCTCGCTTGGAAGTTTGACCTAAACCAAGGGATTTTACACAGAAACCCTAATTTAGAAACTCCTTTTCTTCTTGATTTCTCTTGATTTATCCTTGGCACAACACCACATCCATATCTACATGTCAAATGATGAACCCCACATCTCTCAAATAG